GACATATAATCCAGCCCGGCACCGGCAAATACATCCAAGCGATGCCCACGAAGCCCGACGCCAAAGTCCTTGTAGCCGGCGATATGACAGTCAACCCCGGCATCTGGGTCCGCCAAGTCCTTGCTACTGGCGGCAAGGCTTATGGTAGATACGCGAATGTCGCGCTCGAGAAGATGACATACCAGGAGATGGTCGATGTATGGTCGGAAGTCACTGGCAAGAGCTGTGTCTTTGCTGAGCTCAGTTTGGAGACGGCGGCCAAGCTTTACGGCGATGTGGGCAATGAACTGGCGCTCCAGTTTAAGTATGGCGAGGCTTGCGATCCTTGGGAGGTCACCGAGGAGTTTGTGAGCCCAGAGGAGCTGGGCATAGACGCTGGGGAGGTCGTTGGGTTCAGAGGCACGATCGAAGGTCTCCACGCAAGCGGGTTCTGGGCTTGATTTCAGGGCCAGAGTACCGTGATATCCCAGTAGCGTAATACAGGCGGCCTGGTTCTTGTATCAATGTTTCGTTATATCAAACGGTGGATGCGACGGAGGTTCTCGGGTGCCAACGGGCTGCTCTGGGCATGCGTCAGCTTGATCATATATGGGGCTGGTGATGCGAAATACAATAGCCATTCAGTAGTGACCACGGCCCGCTGGTCATGAGATAACGCTTTCGTGGTGGAAGTTGAGAAATCGGGGTGTCGCGTCTGGGGCGGCAGCTATGTAGAGGAAAGGAGGCTGAAGAACATCGACCGTTCGTGGGATGATAGCCTAAGCGGGTTCGTCATGGCTGGAACGTCGTTGCGTACGTCAGTTCACATGCTAAGGTCATGAGCGACGCATGGGATCGTATCCAGGTAAGGTGTGAGTGGTACGGTCTCCAGCGTTGGTTGCACTGGCGGCGGGCAATGTCCGGGTTCCCGTTCCCGCGACCCGCCAATGCCGCCACGTGCCTACCCGTAAACACGCGACGCGCAAACACGTGCGACCACCATGTCGCCACCAGTTGACAACCACGCGCGAATCTGCCTCTAGAAGTCATCTCGCCTAATGGCATCTCATCCACAACTAGAATAAGTAACATATTCATCAATTGCCATAGTGTTGCGCCTGCCGCACGAGGTTTGATGTATTCACGGCATGAACATTCTATCAACGATCATAGCCCGCACAGCTTCTTCACAAGCAACGATACGAACAAAGAGTCTTTTCAAGATGACGTGCTTCCAATAGAATAATAATGACAGTAACTTTCAGTCTTGATAGGATCTAACTAGCAGCCTCCAGTCGCATCAAAGCGCATCTGCATGCACGAAGTTTGGCTCGTGCAGACCCGGCTCACGATCTCCCTCGGATGCATGCCAGGATTCTGGCGCTGACCACATTTTTCGGTCCGCGACAGTAGCTTCCGGTACGCATGAACGGTGACGAGTGCTGGTAGGCTCCGCAACCGGCACCTGCACAAGATTTCCTGTCTGCAGCTCAACCTGCGCATCGACGTCCTTGCTGTCAAACCAGGACGGCGGATGGAGCAACCGAGGAAGCTTAGCAGCCGCCCTTTTCTTTCGTTTCCCCATGTGCGTCCCTGCATTGGAATTATCCTCATAGTAGCGCACGTTTGGTGGCCTACGAGTCTCGCTTCTCGAAAAGAGAGGACGCATGAGCGGTATGCAAGCCACCACTATCATGACTGCGGTCTCCAGGCCACTTAGTATCATAGCGAAGACCATATCCGGATATCGCTCGTATTTTGTCCATTCTAGACGCCACATGATCTTCTAACGGTAGATGGTGATGCCCCACGTCCTAGGGTTCGTGTTAGCATATTGTAGTCGATGAAAGTTAGTCTCGTGTACGTACACTATACTGTAGCGCGCACTACAAGGGGGTTAATAGAGCTGTAATAGTATATTATTGCAGTAAAGTGCTATTAGAGGCCTATTATCTAATTTTTAGCTAATAAGAGTATATTATTACTAACATTATAACTTAAGATAATAGCTATTAGAAAGATAATAGGTAACTTAAGAGTTACTTTTTCTACTTCTATTAGGCGTTTAATAGGTATTCTTAACGCAATTATAGTTACCTCTAAGTACTTTTACTCTATTTCTAGTAAGGTATACTAAGGCTACTTATATAAGTAGCTATATTTAGGTAAATATTCTACGTAATTTACTATAAGTATACTTAGAAGGTATAGCGCGCTAGCATTACTTAAATACAGCCTCTTCTAATATCTCTCTTATTACCGCTATTATTATTATTAGTGTTGCTACTACTACTATAGGTTACTACCTTCTTATGTTAGAATAGAAGGCACTATAGGCTCTCTTAACAAGCTTAGAATTTAACATTAATTACCTCTAACATCGCTCTGTTAGCTATTACTACCTCTAATAGCTTTTACCTACGTTATAATATTAGAGAGCTATTAGAAGGTAATAGGTATTCTAGAAATATTAGATTTTAGAAGCCTATTATAGCTCTATTAACCCCTCTATAGTGCGCGTAATAGTACCTATCTCTAACAAGATAACTGTAACTAGCTTTTAACGCTATAATATTTATAAACGAAATAGATACGGCATCGAAAGTGCGATAATAACTGCGTCTATAAGTAGATTTAGTAAGTCTATAATAAAATATAGCAAAGGCTAGTTATAACATTTGCTTAGGCTTGTCTATGCTAATTCGAATAGTCTACAAATTAATAACACCGCGATTAGGTCCGCTGCTGTCTAGATAGTAATAAAAGCACCTAGATAGCGACTAATTTTAAGCATAGACGCGTTAGGTATAATTATAGCGTATATAAGCAGAACCGAGATCTTTAATAGGTAGGTAGTAATTTGCTAAGTAATAACTATAATTAAGGTGCCTTTAGACAGAACATATCTAACCTCGATGCCGTATCGCACTACTATAGCTATAAGGTCGAGACTAAAGCCTACGTAGAGGGCGAGGTATATGTTGTTAGCGCTTAGTGCTGTATTAAACACCTAAATCTAGTTAGACTAGCACCTCTGCTTTGCGTTATAATTTAGTATCTAAATACTATGTATCTAGATATACTGTTAAGAAAGAAAATAGGTATGCAATACTAAGGCCGCAATAATGCAATAGTCGCTGCCGTTAAATCGTTTGCGAACGTACTTAGCAACGAGTCGTAAGATAACCGCAGTAGTAGATATTGCAATCGAGCTGGCGGACAAAGCGATTATCTAGACCTGCAGTCTAGTTTCGATTGGGTGCATTATATTGAACAAACAAACCGCTTTGCTGATGTGGGTAATTCAACGAGACAGTAAAAGTGAAGAGATAGCTCCTTCGAGACATGGTGGGGACCTCAAGTAAAGACTGCGTAACTTCATGAACGCCACCCTGTCGACGGTGTAGCAGTTCGCATAGTCATACTTTTGCACCCTTCCAAAGGACACAAGCCACTCGAGCCTGCCGAACGGTGAGCGATCGACCCTTTCAAAGGGAGGATATATGGAGAGATTATTCGATGTCGGGATTGGAGATCTCCAAAGGGATTTCTGTACAGCGTAAAGCTCATGCTAGTGTATTGCGCAACGATAACCTAAGCGAGAAGTACCCCGGCGTTTCGATGAGCGGGTGCATGACTTAGATGCAGCCAGACACACAAGTGATCCACGGGAAGATCGAGGCCTGGCATGACGGGCCGCGGGAGTGGTTCGTGATCGGGGCGGACCTGTCCACCGGACAGATCGCATCAGACGCCATGCAAAGAGTTTGCGATTGCCGTCCTTTTTGACACTAAGAGCAGCACATGCTAGATATCTAGGAAGGAGGGCAGTCGTGCCCAGGTGGTGAGGGAGCGCTAAGCTTACGATACATGATAAAGCGCTCGTCGGTCTCAAAAACTGCGCGCATGGCCCTCTGAACTTTCATTGGCAAGAAGGAGATCGATTTCCCACGCTTGAGGAGTGGGTTGTGAGCGAGAGGAGTTACGCAGACTATGCTTACACGGCGCAACACATGGACATGTGGCATCGATGCATGGATTGGTCCCTGCTCCGCGTTCTTGATCTTGGCCATTCGAACATGTATCCTTCATTGATGCTGCCGATAATATCGTTGACTGGCCATGTCCCGCGGCTCGAGTCTTTGACTCTCGCCGTCTCCAACTGCAACGAACATGATAAGAAAGATCCAAAACGTTCACTGTCAATATTGAAAGAGTTTCTGCGCAATGTTTTGGCACTCAAAAAATTGCGCCTAGAATGGGACGGCACCCCGGACTGTCTACCAATAATGTTACAACATCAAGGCTAGACATTGCGTGAATTGAGCTTGGAAGACCTTGGCGATACAGCTCCTTGGAGCCACCAGCTCTTTCTCGACATACTGAGCAAGGCGCCGCAACTGTGTCATCTAGACGTAGAGACCTCGAATCATCACTCTGAGTTCGAACTAGAAGAGGTGGTCTGGTAAAGCCATCAATTTATCGCCATCTGAGAAGTTCAAGAACATGGAGCATATGCACATGAGCTTTCAGCTCAACAAAGCAAAAGCAGAAGTCGCTGTTCTGAAACGCTTGGACATGCCATACGTACTAAGGCGAGCTGAAAGATACGAATTGAACGCCACAGGAGTCACTTGGATACGAGAATCACCGTAGACAGGTCATATTCGTGTTATGTCTTCGATTCCAGGTTCGATTGTCCTGTTTCAACAAAGACCTTTCGCGTACCTAGTGAAAGGTCAGACCGCTCCATTTGGTCAATAGGGTGTACCCTTCTCGCTGATAGACAAGCTTATACAATTTACCAATCCGCAAATTCTTCGTCCTCGAAGAAGTCTCGGTGCCTGAATCGGGCGCAGTCGCGATTATACAACACGATATATCATCGTAATGCGGCTGCATTCTGTGAAAACCTTGTGCTCGCTGTAGGTACCCATGAATTCCCTTAGTATATCCCAGATATCAGCAACAATCATGAAACCATGCACCCAAGAAAGGCCACAACGAATCTCCATGTCAAATCACAGGTAGCGGAACGAGACAAGACCTTTGCCAAGTGACTCAAAGATCCGCAAATCCAAGGATCTCGCGACTTCCCGAATCATGTCGATGGCTTCTGATACATTGAAACCCTGAAGAGACAGCTCCTCGATCAGTGGACACCATGTGTCCTTGAGCCTCAGCATACCACGAAGACAATCTTCGTTTAGGTCGGTGTCGAAATAGCAGTTCTTCAGCTTCAGATATCTCAACGATTTTGGTAGGTGACAGAGGTTGGTAAGTTTCTCGAACTGGATCGTTATGTGCGATAGCATCTCAAAATCGCGGAACGAGGGGTACACGTAGTGGTATGAGTCTTTGCCGTACAGTTCCATCTCTTCTTGAAACTCCGCACTGCGCATATCGTAATAGCTGTTGAAGTGCAATTCCAGGGTCTTTAGAGTTGCCTTCTGCTTTTCCAGTAGCGCGATCCCCAAATCTCGTGGGGTGACGAGTGGTTGGCTCCCTATATCGTCTGGCAACATTCCCCCATGACGCCCTTCATCTGGGATGACGAACTTGAATGTTTCCAAGCGAGGACATGCCTCTAGAGCTTGTCGCATTGTAGCGAGTGGCCCAAGACTCCACCACAACTCAATCGCCGATGGTGTGAGTAAGTTTGTGGCAGGATGAACATCATTACCGTCCGATATTTCGATCTCAGTAGAGAATGAACTGAACGAGGGGTATCGCAGGAGCGGGATATAGTCAACTATGTTGATTGGTTGATTGTCGAAATGCTTGTGCCTGCGCCATGTTGAGCGAGAGCGACATGCGTACGAATCAGTGAGACTTACAAATGAAACGTCTCCAACCTAGCGAGGAAGGCGTCACTCGAAGCTCTCATCGCATGCATCCCTTGCAGCAGTCCGCGAGGAGGCAGGTTGTGTGTATCCATACGAAGATGCCGTAGATTGGGCAGACAAAGAAGTGTGTATAACACAAGCGTCTGATACAACACGTTCCGTTCGCTATCCCAATTCTTAACTGCCCATAATTTCGAGAATTCTGAGAAAGTGGGATGGCGCATAAGGTCAGGTCCTTCGTACGGGGCTGGTCGATGGTAATGTAGAGTGAGCGATCGCGTCTTCTTTGCGAGCTTGGGGCGTTCGACAACGGTCCGCAAGAAGAGCTCAAGAGATCTCATGGTCTCGGGCATCGACTGTCCTAGTACCACGCAAGTGTAGAGCGCGGGTTGCGCAACAGCTGCCAGCGCACGGGATGTATTGCATAATCGCCATAGTGCTCTGACGTCCGACCAGCGGCCTGTTTCGAGATGCGCGACGATGGAATAGAGCAGTTCGTTGGAAAGATCAGTGAGCTTTGCCATGGTTTGATGCGGAGTGACCGCCGGAGGTGTCGCAAGCCAGGTGCACAATAGCAGGCAGCAACATTAGTAAGCGACGCTCGCTTCGCGGGGCCATCTTTTTGGCGAATTGGCATCCTGGCCGGTGGCCACAACCTTCACCTTCACCAACGATCAAGCTCACAGTATCAGTCATTTGGAAGACGCTTCTCAGTGGTACAATAGATATGAATTCAGGTATCACAAAAGAAATCTAACAAATACCGGGACCTCCTTCCATTATCCCTCCCAACCAGTCCTAGCTCGCCAATGCAGACAGCCTACATCATGGCGCAAGGAGGGCACCGCTTCTTACCGCACCTCTTCTTGTTCTCCTTGTGCTGGGTCCGCTTCATCGACTAGATGATCGTTAGCACATGCCATATCAAGCCCATTCAAAGTATAACGTACAGCGACCTTCATGTCCTCGAGGAGCTTAGCCTCCCAAGCCTCATCTGTCTCCACAATGACTGTGGTAGCGTCAGTGCTGTCCTCGGTGACAGCGGCGGCAGCGGCAGCGGTGGCGGTGGCGGTGGCGGTGGCCTCGGAAGGCTCATCGGCCACGGTGACCATGGGGACGGGGAACCCGGGGGGAGGCAGGATGACGGAGGTGGACCAGGCAGTGACCTCGGGCCAGGTAGGCTCGTCGGCCACGGTGACCTGGGGGATAGGCATCCCGCTGGGAGGCAGGATGACGGAGGTATATGTAAAACCTGCCGGGGTGGTCTGAGAAGGAACCAGGCATGTTAGTTCATACTTCATGAAACAATTGTAAAATGAATTGCTTACGGAAGTGGTGAGAGCAGGCATTTTGCTTCGATTTTTGACTTTGAGATACTTTGTTGTAGATGTCTGGGGTTGAAGATGGAATATTGTAAGTAGTTGGGAAGGATGAGGTGGTTTATATAGAGATGTTCCTACTTTCTGCTGCGGTAGCGCACGGAACTATGTTGGTGGTGTGTGTGGGCACAAATTTTAAAACCCTCTTCGCTACCCTTCAAATGTTGTCTCGCTCAACCACTTAGATCTATATCAGCACCCACAATGCATACCAAAGTTCCTATAATTGGGCCCATGTAGAAAGAGATACTCCCCAGCCGTCCAACAGCGGATTTGATATCTCATGCCATTGTGAAAGCGACAATGGTTCACCTTGCCTCCCAGAGAACACACATACCCACGTCTGAGGAATACAACCCGCGCGACCACGGCAATCATGCGGCCCAATACTACCCGTGGCGCATACCATGGCTGCGTAAAGCGACTGGAAGTCTTCCGATAATATCGTTTGCCAACTACCCAATGATATCCGCCATATATCAAGCCAGGTTGGTAGCGACCGTAGTTCTCAACACCTCGCAAAAGCCCGCACCAGGACACCTGGAAAGCACTACCAGCCTCAGTACGAATATGCCCCCGTAGCATACCATAATTGCACGCACCTTTCGCAAAGCGCTCACCACACCCATCTACAACTCCCTCACTACGACTGGCACCCATACCCACCGCACTACCCTTACCCGTGCGGTACCATCGTCCCATCGCCCCTTCCCTCCCCACTCACTCTTCCCCACGTTCCCAATATCCTCCAAGCCGCGCACCATCGTCACTTCCACACTGGACAAAGTAGCTTAGCGCCTCCCATACAACTTCCCATCTATATCATCTCACTTTCCACTTTCCTCCTCCATCTCTCCTTCACCTCACTTCACCGTCCCAAGCCCACACACGTACTGCAAACTACCTTCCTCTCTCCAACCCAACTCAACGCGACTACACCGCACCTACCCAACCTAAACAACTACCCAAACCCAATCACACTCACCAACAACGAAAATGCACACCCCAACCATCCTCCTCATCGCGGCCGCCGCCAGCGCCGCCGTCGCAGCGCCCGTCACTGTCATCCCTACCGACTCAACCAACCCTACCAACCCTACCAACAAGATCAACTACAACGCCCCCATCGCCGCCGCACTTGTCTCAGCCGGCATGGTCGACACAGAGGGCCACTGCATGCACCCACCGCGCGACAGCCTCATGTACCCTTCCCGTGCCGCCATGGTCGCTGCTGACACCGCCGCTGTTGACGCCGCCCGTGCTAGCATCGGTTTCCTCCCCGTCACCCCTGCCGCTGCCTTTGCGGACGAGGAAGAAGAGGAGACTCAAGAGCAGTACAACAAGAAGCTAGTCAAGATGGACAAGGCTCGTGAGCACGGTGTTGTTTGCACTGTTTTGTAAATCATACAATACTGTAAGTCCTCCACATGCACGCTTCCAGGATTATCCTAGCTAACACTCCGGCAGTCTGATGCATCTACACAACGAATGATGAGTTACACTCTCTCAGGTGATTTACATGAGAGACTAGGAGAATGGTGAGGGATACATGGCATAGCATGGCGTTAGGCGCACCGTAGTGACGTTAATCGCGATCACGGATACGAACAACGAACACTGCGCTCTTAGAGGCTTTTCATGATGTCAATCTGATTCAACATTACAAACAGTCTACACTATCATGGCGCGTGAAACATCTTCAATCTTCTAATTCCCCCGCTTATAAGTGATCTCACAACGATGCGCTTTCGGCGCAATGAGGAAGAAGTTCTAATCACCAGATATTAGCACACATGTCTCACACACACACACACACACCACAAACGCATGAGCTTACCTCAAACTCCATACTCTCAGGCGTCGTGCTGGGCGCCAACCGGATACCACGGCACTCGCGGAAGAAGAATGCAGTCGCATACCGCAGTTCCATGCGCGCGAGATGGATACCGATACAGGAGCGCGCGCCAGCGCCGAAGGGATGGAAAGCGAGTTTCGCCTCAGGCGATTGCGCTTCAGGCACCATTTCCTTGTCTGCGATCCAGCGCTGTGGGTTGAAACTACCGGGGGTCAGCTTGTATTGCTTGCGCGGTGGAGTGCAAAGGCACGACTTACATCAGAGGGTCGCTCCAGATCTTGGGGTCGCGATGCAAAGTGTAGGCTTGCGTGTCGACCGTGACGCCTTGTGGGATGTAGTGACCCGCAAACTTGGTACCACCTTGAGGTACCACTCGCGGCAGACTACTTGGCGCCGCACCGTAGAGACGCAGCGTCTCTTCGATGACTGCATTCAGCAGCGGAAGTTTGATGAGATCGTTTTCGGTAAAGTCATGCGCTAGCGCCGCGGTCTCAGCCTCAAGCGCCGCTTGCAGCTCCGGTCGTTGGAGCACCGCCCATGTGAGATACGTCAGGGTCACGCCTGTCGTATCTGTGCCTGCAATGATGACGTTCATGGCTTCGATTCTGACGTCCATGTCGTCAATGTGGCCCTCTCCTTCCTTCTCGCAGTCCTCGATGACTTTCGCGAAGATGTTGTTTTCGCCGGTGCGCGACCGTGCTGTTTCGACGGCTTTGCCTGCGCCGGCGAGGATGAACTCGTTTGCGTTGAACATCTCTTGGATCGCTGGGACTGGTACGAAGCGCAGGAGGCGGAGGAATGGCATCTCGACCATGATGCCGGCGCCCATTGTCAGCTTCTTCAGCACGCGCATGAATTGGTTTTGCTGCGATATGTCAGCTCTGATGTGGCATGCGTAGTCGTATCTTCATACCTCTCCTGATTCCAGCATGTTGAATGAGTCGCCAAATGCGAGGTGAGCGCTGACGTCCGAGGCAAGAAGCATCCACCAGTTGTACACGTCGGCTGTCGCTTGCGTAGCGTCCGCCTTGATCTTTGTAACAGCCATGAGCGCCTTGTCCCTGACGACAGACTCCCAATGCTCAACAAGGTATGTCCTGCTGAAAGATCTAGACAACAGCTTCCTCCGCGGCCCATGCTCACGTGGGTCAAGCATGGTGAACACACCGGCCTTGGGGAAGTTCGCAAGGCGGAGGTACCATTCGCTCTTCATGTACTTGGTGCCAATCTTGTGAATCTCTTTGAAGGCATCCAAGTCGGCAACGGCAACCTCGTTAGGCGATAATCGTACAATGGGTCCATATTGCTCGTGCAGGGAGTCGATGTAGAAGATGCGCTGCCCTGTTACGACTGCGCGCTTCAACCGATAATGTGTGAATCGAGTATACCAGGGGCCTGGCAGATGCTTCGTCCGACAGGTAAGACCAACATAGAGAAACTGTGGTCGTCAGTACTGGGTTGCGGAAGTGATATCTTCGCTGCACTACCTTTGCTACTAGCAGACCGATTGCCAGCAAGAATGCGTAGGCGAACGAAGGCATTTTGCGTTGCAGTCGCTCGGACCAGAGACAATAAAGCTGATGTAGTTGCAGTACGAGCAGTTGAAGCTTAGGAGTGCTATCAGTCGACCGAGGGCTCAGTGCAGACACGCAGTCGGCACGTTACTTAAACCAGTGCTACGAATCTATGCAAATGAAAATGACCTGCGTGCGCAAAGGACGTACTCTTATCCATCTTCATTTCTTCTTTCGCTAGACCAAACAGGATCAGCGGGCATCGTGTACCGGCATTGCTTTTGCGTACACCGGTCTACGGTCAACTGGGGACCCGACAACGATAGCCAACGGTCCCTGTAGACCTCCGACCATCGTCGCGCAACTCTGTTGTGGCATTGCATGGGGGCACGTGAGCGGCTGTCAGGCGAAGCAGGCGAATGACAGACGCAGGGCGCTCCTCCGCATCAAGATCTCCAGATGAAACCTTGCCGAATCGAGTATAACGTAGATTGACCGCGCCGAAACATGCATGGTGCTCGCTGGTAAAGGGAGGGTATACCGGCTCGGGCCCAGGGCGCTCTTCTGAGGCGGAGGACGTTCTGGCGATGGCTCCGATAGACAGCCGCACTGCCTTCACGCGAACGTCCGTTGCTGTCTCGATTCGTTCAAGGTCGGGTTCGGTTGTTATTGATGTGCTTGATGTGGGCAAAGTCGCTCCCCGCGGAAGCCGAAGCCAGCAAAGGTAGTACCAATCCGATAGTTCATAGGATTCGCAGAGCGTATCTGGCCTACTACCCAATCTCCGCAATGCGGGGATACTGTAGATAATCAATGTGGAGGCTAGATAGAGGTTAGCAGAAGCGCTAGAGGCACATCACCGCCATGATCGCCGTTGGCTTACCGCAAGCTTCGAGTCAACGTTCTACAAGCTATACCCTTGTACCCCGCCAGCTCGTAATCAGGATAGCGTTGTTGAAGCGAGTATCTCCGGGCGCTGCATACCGTACCGCGTAATAGGGGTTTCAAGAATACGTAATGTTATAATGCTACTATTAAATAGCTGTCTAATAGGTGTTTACAAACACTAAAAAATATTAGAGAGCTATTACTAAGTATTAGATGTTATTAATTAATACATGTCTAGATTGCTAATAGATATTAAGATAAAATAAATATTATAATTATATTAAAGGTGTTATATATCTAATCTTAATACATATTATAGTAAATATATAGTAATTAGCTATTAATTATAATGTATTTTAACACGCGTTATATATTATAGCTACTAAGATCTATTTGTAATAGTTAGATATTACCTATATATTAAGAGGCTATTAATATAATATTAGCCTTTAAAATATCTTAGCGCCTATTATATATTATAATTACGTTAGTAATTAACTATAACGTATACTAGACTATAGAAACATATTATAATATAATAGCTATTATACTTTAACTAGTTAATATTATAGCTTAAGTATAAAGGTATCTTAATATAGCTCTAATCTACTAGCTACTAGAGGTTATATATTAACTTTTATATTTTAGTCTACCTAGAGTATTATTATATTCTATAATTATTTATTATATATATATTATAGCGCAATCTACTAGGCGCTTTACTATAGTAATTAATCTATTAATTTAACTTCTAGTTAGTTATACTTCTTCTCTAAATATCTACTATATAATATAGCTTATCTTAAGTTTCTTCTAGATAGTAGCTAAGAGATAGAGTAAAGACCTAGTAGCCTACTATAAAAGTAGTTTTTAAACTATTTCTATATACTAACCTTATATTCTAAGTACTTAAATTCTAGGTTAGTTTACTAAGAACTTTATAGTTTAGTAGAATATATTAATTAAATAAGTAGCACTTAATATAAATAAGCCTAGTAAAGTTTAGTATTCTATCTCTTGTAATATAGCCTTATAGCTATATTTCTAAAGTAAATAAGTATTATATAGTAGAAAAGAACTAAAAAGTAAAGTAGAATATCTACTTAGAGAAATAGTAATAAGAAGTAACTACCTATATATACTAAATATACCTACTAGTATAAGAAATATTACTCTAAGATTATAGGTATAATTACTATATATCTAAACGCCTCTACTCTCTAGAAAATAAAACATTATTTAGTATATATAAGTAGATAGAACTCTATTAATATAAATTAAACGCTAAAATAAAGTCTATAAAGCTATAGATATAGAGATAGATAAAGATAAGAATAGTATATTTAGCGGAGCTAAATTAAAGCGCGCTAACTTAAGAAGGTAGAGCTTTATAGATAAAAAATTACTAAGTAGCTAGTAGGTAGTCTTAGAACTTTTACTTCTTCTTTTTCTTTATAATAAATACTCTATTATTAGATATAGCGCAGCTATTATTAAAGATACTAGATTTAATAGATAATATATTAAAGCTAGATAGTAGCTTAGTAATACTAAGAAGTAAATTAGTATTATAATTATGCGCGTTAGACTTCTTCTTAGCTTTACACTTCTTAGATATATAGTTCTTATTAAAGAAGAACTTATAGAAGCTAGGCTAATACTTAATAAAGCTTTTCTTCTAGCCTTAATTATAGAAGGCAGCTAGTAGCTTTACTTAAGTAAGCTACTTCTTTTCTTAAGGTAAAGCTAGCCTATAGTTATTCTCTATATCTATAATATATTTTGTAAAAGCTACTAATAATACTATAATATCTATATTATTATTAGTAATATTATTCTATATATAGAATATATACTAACTTACTATAAGTCTACTATTATACTATAGAAGTGCTACGCTAAAGGTTAATATAGTAATAAGTAAATATAAACACTAACTTAAAGTTCTTAATACTATATATATTAAGAAAGAATTTGCGTACGCGCTTAGTATTAAAAATCTTACTCTTTAGACACTTACTCTCTTTATCTAATTTAAAGACTCTAAGTATATATACCTAAAAGAATTAGTAATAACTTAATAAATATAATACTATAACTTATATAAAGTTATTTAATAGTATAGAATTTCTACTAGGTTATATTCTACTAGACTCTATAAGCTCTAAGCTTTAGAATCTAGGTATCT